TCTCAATTCACATAACACTTGTCACAACCATGTCTCAGAACAATGCAAATGACATGTTCACACAAAATAGATGAAGAGATGACCATTTTCATAATATTGCCCAATTCACAACAACACAATCATGATTCAACATCAACAATGATTCAACATCACCAACAATATATTCTCAACACATCACACACAAACAATTAATCACATTGTCTTTTATTACCCCTTTTTCATTACTAGAATTAATCAATGTGGACAAGTCAACCCATCACCAAGTTTCATTACCCTCAAACACATATTACAAGGAAATACACGAATTTCATACACTTAACAAGGGCTTAGAAATCCACTTGCCTCAAATAGTCGAACAATCACTCCGAAACTTGAGCCTTCCCTTTTCGTTGTACTTCAAACTCAAAGCAATCTATTCACATTAATAATCACAATAAGATTTCGAAACTAACAACATTCATATTACTATATGTATAGCCTGGATCCATAAAAACTCACCCAAATCTATAATCAACTTCCTAAATCTTGATGCCAAACATCAATTAACATGTCAACTGTTTCAATTTTCTCCAAATTTCAAATCTAGGATTAAGTTTCAATTTCTCATACAATACTATTTAACTAGATATATCAATACAACAAAACGTACATAATACTATCATAGCTATAAAGAAGATCCAACAATTTTTAAACCACGAGAAATAATATTAAAACCATTAAAATCTGCATAATATTACTGAAAACTTGTCTGAAGTTATCCCTCCCAATGATTGGCCAATCACTGCCAATCATTGGCTATCATAAGCCTCATAATCATTAGCATATTATTATCCCTCCATTGGTTAGATGCTCTTAGGTTTTATTTCTTTTTCTATTATTAATATTTTTTCAACCCAACCTTAAAATTGCCGTATACATATTTGAACATGTAAATTTGCTAGCAGTTCAAATTATTTTCCTACACCACTAAATAATATAATATAATTGATTTCATACACCATTATCAATCAAAGTTGTGAACAAATCTTTACCTAAATTTGACCCTTTCGGTTTAACGTCGGCCGCCTTTTTGTTCTCACTGCACCACGGTTCTTTCTTCCCCGGAAATTTCTTTTATCCCTTATTAAATAAAGGGAAAATTGTATATAACAACAAACTATTAATTCAAATTAAATGCTATAAATATAGTTTGATTTAATTGTACCTCATAGCAAACTGTTGCTATTTCACCTCTCTCTTGGTGAATCTCGCTCGCCACTCTCGTTCTCTCCCTCGCCTCTCTCATTTTTTATACAAACGCAAGTCTATAAAGTGTGTTTGTGTTTGTATAAAGCGAGAGAAAATTGTATATATACATATATTTTCGTTCCCCTCTCTCCCCTCTCCCAGATCTCGCTCGCCACTCTCCCAGATCTCGCTCGCCACTCTCCCAGATCTCGCTCGCCACTCTCCCAGATCTCGCTCGCCACTCTCCCAGATCTCGCTCGCCACTCTCCCAGATCTCGCTCGCCACTCTCCCAGATCTCGCTCGCCACTCTCCCAGATCTCGCTCGCCACTCTCCCAGATCTCGCTCGCCACTCTCCCAGATCTCGCTCGCCACTCTCCCAGATCTCGCTCGCCACTCTCCCAGATCTCGCTCGCCACTCTCCCAGATCTCGCTCGCCACTCTCCCAGATCTCGCTCGCCACTCTCCCAGATCTCGCTCGCCACTCTCCCAGATCTCGCTCGCCACTCTCCCAGATCTCGCTCGCCACTCTCCCAGATCTCGCTCGCCACTCTCCCAGATCTCGCTCGCCACTCTCCCAGATCTCGCTCGCCACTCTCCCAGATCTCGCTCGCCACTCTCCCAGATCTCGCTCGCCACTCTCCCAGATCTCGCTCGCCACTCTCCCAGATCTCGCTCGCCACTCTCCCAGATCTCGCTCGCCACTCTCCCAGATCTCGCTCGCCACTCTCCCAGATCTCGCTCGCCACTCTCCCAGATCTCGCTCGCTCACTCGCCTCTCTCACTTTATACAAAAA